GTTAGTAACGTCGTATGGTGACGTTACCTGGTTTTAGAGTGCTTTATGGAGAATATATAACCTTTTCATTTTTCAAAAATTTATAAACTTACGAGTATACCGCTTCTTGTTGATTGTTAAAATTATTGTAACTTAACGACTTGAATAAAGTAATATAAGTTTAGATATAGTAGCCGTGGTAGCTCAGATGGTTAGCACTCGCTGTAAATTCCACAGTACGCGAGCAACCCGGGTACGATCCCCGCCGGCACCAATTAATTTGTTAATTGCAATTTTAAGTGCTAATTTACCACGTACTCGGTGGTGAAGGAAAACATCGTGAGATAACCTGCATGTCTGAGAAATAAGAAAAAAAATTCGGAGACGTAAAGTCCGCGAGCACGCTTTGGAGAAGCGCGGCGGACATTTTCTTGCCCTAAAACTCCCTACCTGAGCCCATAAGTGGGACGTATATAGGCTGTAACTTTAACTTTAAAAAAAAGATCAATATACTCAAAAAAAAACATTTCCTATGTAACTTGTTAAAAGGAAATGCCCGATTCTGGCCATGAAACGCCCAACACTTTGCATTTCTTAAAAACACATCTTTTTTTTATGATAATTAATCGCGGTATTTATGTATCCATAAAATATTGCAATATTTTTGCACAAAAAAGTACCGAAAAGATAAAAATGAAATTAGGTGTTTTTTTAAAAGATTTTTATGGTGTTATTATTATAATGGTAATATTATTTTTCGATAATTGTTACGATGTTATGATGATTAAACAAGCGAATTGCTAGTTCATTTACCACGAACTCTTTAGAACATAACAAAAACGCTACTGCACAATTTAACTGTTATTCTTATCTATTCTTAAAAATACATTTAAATTGGAATTTAAATAAATAAAACAAAACATATTTTAAAAGGCGTGCAGAATTTGAAGCAAAATAAAGATTATTCTTTTTTATGAAATTATAATTCGAATAAAGAATCGCTATATATTTATCGATTTTTTGTCTGTTAATTGGCAACATCGAATCTGACAGCTAGGCCCATGTCATAATAAATTGTCAAAACTAAATAGTCACAAGTCGAATTATTTTGCATTTGTGTTATTTTTTTTTTGTATTCTCGCGGATTTGTTATATAAGCAACGAATAAGCTTTCTAAATGGACTCCGATAATTCCTCGCACCCTATTGACCACGGCCTGAAAATGGTCCCCGCTCCCACTTCTTACGATAACCTCTGCACGAACTTGGACTCGATATCCACTGTTAACGATGATCCCAGCTTTCACACCGGCCAGAGTTCTTCCCAGCTCTCAGTAACTCATTCAAGAGGACATTTACGCTGTGTCAATTATACTTCAAATGTCACGAAAATACGAAATTATTTGTTGTCATTGAGTTATATGTACTACGTACTAGAGAAGCATTTCTAAACAAAAAATGTGTACTACTCTACGTCTTCGCGCATGCGCGGGAGATAGTAAAGTCGCACATGCGCAGTTGATTTAAGCGCGTTGCGCCTGCGCGGTCTGTTTAAATAAAGAAATATATTTTTTCATGATTATTTCTTTTGTAATAAATATTTATTCACTTGAACAGCAAATAATTTTACTTACTTGACTACTGGATTGTTATTTACGTCCAGGTTTAAACTTTAATTTGAAATCTTGTATCATTAGCGCCGCTCCACACTGCCTGAATGTTGAAACCACAGACTAACTAGTAGATTGAAATCACACTAAATGACACACTGTACGGATTGCAGTACAGTCACAGCGGTGACACTCTGTACGTGAGAGTTGAAGCACCGGTGACATTAGGCCGGAGCGTGTAACGCTAGGGTTGATACCCAACCGAAATAGAATTTTATAGACTTGTGCCAAAGAAGATACATAGTACGTATATGTTAGATAATGTAAGTTTATGTATTTAGATAGTGAAAGATACGATCAATTTTAAATCAACTTTTATTAAATATCTTTACAGATGGGGAAAATTAAAATTTCCGACAAAACAAAATATGCACGACAGTTAATGGTAATCTTAAATAATAATTAACCAACACTTAGTATTTCAGTATACAATAATCAGTATTACCTACCTACTATATATATATATATAAACATTTTTTCATTTTATTTGAATTGCAATTTTTATTATACAACTGTTGTCCTTAATAAAAATATAAATATATATTTTTATATATATAAATATATAAAATTACAAATATATACCTTAAAACTATTATATATAACATAAATGTGCGATACATATAAATAAATATTGTAACTAAATAAAGGTAGAATAATTATATACAAATGAATAGGTATTACTTTTATATAAAGCGCAGCCCTCAACCAGCGCAATCGGCGACGGCCCGTTCCACGCCCCGCGCGCCTCTCACGGCGTCCGCACACATCCACACATAGTCGCAAGTGATTTTACGTGCACATATGCTTAAGTGTCGTTTCTTTTAGCGTAGTGTATATATTCTTTGGTACAGTTCAGTTGAACATAGTTTATGTTTGGAATGAGTAGTACGTAGTACATATATATCGATGTTTGTTGTTAAAAAACTGCTTTTGTTTTTTTTTGTTTTTTTTTTATAGGATAAGGGTGACAAACGAGCACACAGTCCACCTGATGGTAAGTGGTTGCTGCGGCCCATAGACATCTACATCTATCCTCGTTTGCGAATTAAAATGCAGATGCGTTGCCACCCGTGAGGACTAAGATGGAATGCCTCATTTCCAGTAAAAAGGGCCTCCGGCCACCTGCACTCACCGAGCGAAACGCAGAGGTAAACCTCTACTTCACGCTGGTATTCTGTGAGGTCGTGGTACCACCCCGGTTTGAGCCGGCCCATCCGTGCGACAGCAAAAGCTGCCGCGTGGCTCTACCACTGTTAAAATAAAAAAAATTGTGAAAATAAAGAACCTTTATATCTTAAAAACCCGGACTTTTTTAAACTTAACTATTTCCTCGTAATACAAATTCATTCCTTTTATTGCATATTATCATTTCTATATGCTTTTATATATGGGCACCCTTGGCCGAAGTATCTATGAACGGTGGGCATTCCCCTTTTATCGTTTTGTCTGCCACAAATAACATTTTCAGCTAAATTGTTTAGTATGTTTAAATATTTGTGGTGTGGTGTAAAATAATCCATTGCTCCCATCCACCCTGTGAGTGAAGTAAGAGGTGAATGCGGGAATGCCACGAAAAAGTTACAGGACAGTGTTATTGCGTCCGAGCGTAAGCACAGGTGCCCTCTTTATTTCCTCACTCTCATAGTCCGATGGGACAGCAAACCGACACGACCAAAGAGAGACCAGATGCAGGACCAACGGCTTTACGTACTTTTAGAGGTATGGGGGTGAAAATCCGCCAGCCACCTGACTCCGGACAGCTACTGAGAACTTTTTGACATAAGAACTCAATAGCTAACTTTTTTCGTTCGACCTGGAATTCATACCCGAGACGTCATGATCATCAATCACGTTTACGACCACTAGACCAACGATACAGTCATTGTTATATGATTATAAATCAACTTACATATTGAAAGTAATTTTTTACTTTTACTACTGGATTGAAAAAAATCTTTCCTAGAAAGAATCAGCAAGAAACCTAGCGGGCCTTTATTCCCACAGTAAAATTACTGAACACACAATATGAAGAAGTTTGTACATTTATTTACAAAGCTCATTTTAGAAATAGCTCGGAAGTGATGCCCTCATTCCTAGGGGCTATTATCAACCATGTAAACACTTATATTTGGATTGTATGTAATCACTTATAAAAGGGTTTTAATAAAGTATTTGCTTAAGAAAAAAATTAACTTAGTAAGAGAGATACAATATTATGTTTGTAGCACGAAAAGGTTGGCTCCACCGGGAAAGGACCACGTTCTTACAGAGCACCAGCGTAAAATTGTAGCTTAAAGCTGCTGATATAGATGTCTATGAGCCACAAAATCCACTAATTGTAAGTGGGACTGTGTGCTCGTTTGTTACCCTAATGACCAAATACTCAAACGCTATTCAATGTTAAGACGCCATTAAGTTTCGTGTTGTCTCTATCATTTTAAGTCAAAGTAATTGTGAAAGTACGAGACTTAAAGACATTACAAAATTGAGTAGCAAGCACTATGCTCAATGACCTCAATAGTGTCTCTCAATGAATAGGTCTTAAGATGAACATGAACAAAACAAAAGTCATGTGTGTAACGTCCATGTCACACCTATGCTGGTAGTTGTTGGGAGCACTAAGCTCGAAGTTGTTGACAAACATGTTCACATGTCTTCGAAATTTTTTTCTTATCTTTTAAACATGCAGGTTTCCTCACGATGTTTTCCTTCACTGCCGAGCACGTGGTAAATCAACACTTAAAATTAAATTTATAATTTCATTGGTGCCGCCGGGAATCGAACCCGGGTTGCTCGCGTACTGTGAAATTTACAGCGAGTGCTTAACCCCTAAACGACCATGGTTCTATTATAACAATAATATTTTATAAATAGTATTATTTATGTGTACGTAAATTATTAAATGTATTATACTTGTACGTAAAAACCGTGAAGTGCTTCCAGCAAATCGCTATTGATTTGCATTTCAAAGGTTTCTTGTAATGTGTACATCGTTAAACAGTTTGGCGCATATAGAGGGAAAGGACGTATTTAATATTCTGTTAATGTACTTTATTCGATTACAAAACTAAATTTACCAAGGTAATGAATTATATCTTATGCTTTAAGTTTAATTTAGTTAGGTATAGTGTCGGAAATTATTGCTTCCACCAATTTATTTTATTTCTAATAACAAATATTTTAATGAAGCGTTATGTCCTGTGCACAATAAAAAAAGTGTTGTTATTAAGACTACTTTATAAGACGGGATAACCACAATTTAATATATTGTTACTATTTTTTTATTTTTTTTTATTTACTTTAGAAATTTATGAAAAGAAGAGGCTTTTGCTTATTTTATTTGTTGCAGATAATGACTAAAAATAAAAATGAAAATAAAACAAAATCAAAAACTAAAAAAGTCCCGGCAGAGGATAACGAAAATATTAAAGAAAATAAAAAGACTACGACTCAACTAGACTTACTTGAGGAGGAAGATCAGGGCTTTGGTGGTTGGCTCAGGTAAGCAAATTTTTTATTGCCAAAGTCTGATGATTTTAAAATTGGTGTTCATACAGATAGTTTTGTGTAAAATATAATACGCATTTTATGATTTTAATATTGATTTGAAATAATAACTGACAGATTTTTTATTTTTACAAAATTAGGACATAGATAATACTGTTCTAACCCCTGGGGCTTAGGTATAAATAGACACAAAAAGGTAAGGAATTTTATAGTACAAATATGATTATTTTATAGTTGTAGTTTAAGTGGTTCATACTAACAGTTTTGTATCAAATAAACACACATTTTATGCTATTAATATTGGCTTATATGAATAACTGACAGAATTTAGGGTTTAGGACAGGGTTGTTCAGGGGTTAATATAATTACGTACATGAAAATGTACTACTGTCATATATGCCTTTTCATTTCATACAGGTTTATAATACAGGAAAGACTACTTAATGCTTCTTCTGTGTGATTTGACGTAATTAACGTAACTGACACTTCCATAAAATATTTTTAATCACGAACACGTACTACGTTGATACTGGCAATGAATAATCCGAGAAGATTTAAACATATACGACTCGGGCATATATTCACATAATATACAAAAATAAATGTGACATTTTTCGTGTAGTATAATGACATCTTTGCTAAATTAACAAGTGGGATGCGGCAAGTAAAGGCTTTATGTGACAGAATTTTTAATTTTTTGGTTTTTGGCCATTTTGACCCCCTAGGAGTGTAATGAGAACTTTTTGCCGCTTTTCAACCATGACCCCCATGACATCCTCTACATGATAGGCTATTCAATCTGACTTTGCCTAAAGTTCCACCCCCACCACCCATTTTTTTGGTTTTTGGCCATTTTTACCCTTTAGGAGTATAATGATAACTTTTTGACCCTATTCACCCATGACCCCATGACATCTTCTACATGATAGGCTATTCAAACTGGCTATGCCAAAATTTCGAGTCACCTTCAACTCATTTCTAGTCTTTACTTCTAATTACTTCCAAAAACTAATGAACTAATCTGATGGATGCTTTGCCTACTTAGTTATAGTCAGACTGCGACGCTATGGATCCTGAGTTTGAATTTAAATTAGAACGTGAATATTGAAAGCCTTGTTCGGTACCTTTTTTCAGGTAGTGGAAATATAGGATAGCATTTCCATGCGCGATACGTAGGTAAATAAATAGAATTTCTACTCCAATTCGTCTGCGACGGTGTCGCACTGCAGTAGCATATCTGTGCCATCGTGCAATATTTAAATGCTGATGACTGGAAACTTTTATCCTATTTGTTTACCTTGAGTGACATATTCGTGTTATAGAAGGTATTACAGTACGTACAAAATATTTGCAGAGAAACTACCACTACACCTATTCCTTTTTCTGTCTAATATTCTCTTAAATATTATCTTAAACTAAGGGAAGAATATCAAGAGTTTAAAGTTAAAAAATAAGCGAAGTGAATTACAAAACAGATTTTTTTATTGGTGTATATAAATGATGATAGATGCCATTATAACAAGGTAAATGATTATATGCTTTAGTGTGCAAATCGAACACAACGTGAAAAGTACAAATTTCAACGCCAAATTCTTATTGCACACCTCGAACGCGAAGAGAGTGGTTGGACATAACTGTCACTTGACAAGTTTACAATACCCACTCTTATTAAATTGGAGAAATTATTACTAAACCGCACGAATACGCGGTGATAAGCGCATATGCTTTAAGTTTTTATTTTATATAGAATTTGCACAACCGTAAACTCCACCGCTGTGTAGTGACGGTGTTAGAAAATGGACAATTTCATTTCATCTCGTGGGGTTCGTAAGAGGTGACAGAGGGAAGTGAAATAAAATATGAGCCACAACATTTCCCTGATAACACTTAAAATAATAAAAAACCGCGGTTACAACCTACCTGTCAAGCGTGACAAATATCCCCCTATCCAAGGGCTTCGTAATAATAATATATAAAAATATATATAAACACTCACGCCTTTCACCCAGAGGGGAAGGCAGAGACTATGGACTTCCATTTAGGACGATCCTGACACACCTTTCTCGCTTCCTCCACATCCATATACCTACGCATACAAGGTTAAATGGTTAAAGGTACTCTTGACTTGGCCCATTTTCAATATATTGCCAATTTGGTCGATAAACTTTCGCCTAGGGCGCCCTTTCCCGACTCTGCCGTTCACCTCTGCAACATAAATTTGCTTTATCACTCTTTCCTCATTCATTCTTCCTACATAACAAAGCCACCGAAGCATTCCTTTCTTAATCCTGGTCACAACATTATCTTGCAAATCACACTCTTCTCTTATCACACAATTTCTCACTCTGTCATTTAGATTCATCCTTAACCTAAAAATTCGTAAAAATAAACATAAATATATATTTATGTTTATTTATTATTTTCTTTAATATTCAGCCCAACCCGATGAAAATAATCTATAAATACCCCAAATAATAATAATTTCAGTGTAGTGGCGGCGTAAGTATACTAATTTACTCCATTTTGTCGCATGGGTGACGTAAGAGGCGTCTATAGAAAAGCCAGAATCTTTCTGGCTTTTCTATAGACAAAGTTTCAAATTGATGACAGTTGGTGGTATAATCGTCTCACATTTATTGTCTAATAGCAAATTTTTCAGTCGAGAAAATCTCCGTAGTAGCCCGGGGTAAGGAATTTGGCATTATTCTTTCTAATAGATGATAGTTTTTTCATTGTATCCGTAAATATTAAAGAATAATATTAAAATAAAAGTTACTATTAATAAAGTATAAATTTGTAAATAACCATCTTATTAATTTTAGCAAAAAAATTATTTACCTTCATCATTACCATCATTACAGCCTTTCACAAATCCATTGCTGTACATAGGCCTCCCCTAAGTTATGACACAAAGCAATGGTCCTGAGCCAGCTGCATCCATCGACTGCCTGCATTTTTTACCAAGGCGTCACTCTATATAGTAGGGGATCGCCCTACACGTCGCCTACTGGTACGAGGCTGCCATTTGCGAACTTTTTTTCCACATTGATTGTCGGTTCTTCGAGCTATATGGCTGGCCCATTGCCACTTCAGATTACTAATCTGTTGGGCTATGTCGGTCACTCTGGTTCTACTGCGGATATCCTCATTCCTAAGTTTATCACGCAAAGAAACCCCAAGCATAGCCCTCTCCATAGCTCGCTGCATAACCTTGAGCGTCCTCATACGGCCAGCAGTGAAGGACCACGTCACAGAACCATAAGTCATCTCTGGCAACACGCACTAGTTGCACAATTTGTTTTCAGGTTTTGAAGTATACCTGATGGTAAGATGTGTCGTAATTTCCCGAACGCTGCCCAGCTGAGTTGAATCCGTCGATTGACCTTTCTATCTACCTAGTCGGTCTATTTGTCTCAGGTAAACATACTCATCAACAACTTCTAGCTTAGTGCTTCCAGCAACTACCTGCATAGGTGTGACATTTAAATTACACATGATCTTTGTTTTGTCCATGTTCATCTTAAGACATATCCGTTAGAAGAGATCGTTGAGGTCATTTAGCATAGTGTTTAGGTCCTCCAGCGATTCTTTTCCGTCCCCCTCGTGTTCTAATTTAAAGCCTCAATACCTTTCAGCTCGAGTTACATAGCCGTTTTCAGTACCTAGAAAATTGCAATGCAGTGGACGATATGAATGACAAGCTCGTGGAAACTGTCCATGCTGTCGTAGCTAAGTTCTCCAGGGCCCGCCGCAGAAGAACACAAAAACTCTGATCACACTTTTATTCTCATGGCTGTTAGACGGAAAATGAGGCTACAGTCTTCAACAGATTTGACAGTATACAGGCAACTGAACAGATAGATCTCCAAATGCATGCGGCGGGATTTATGCAACTTTAATATAGCTCGTATTGAAGAAGAAATCGAGCGGGACCAGGGCTCCAAAGTCTTTGCCAGAGATCTGTCGGCCAGGAAGAGCCAAATGTCAAAGCTGAAGACCGAGTTTGGCAGCATCGTTTCCGGGACACCTGAAATGTTGAGTGTGATTGAGAGGTTAACAGAGTTATCAGAGGCCACACACAAGTTTGAGTAACGATCAAAGAGCAAGTCTTATCTGACACTATTCCGAAGCTATCCCGGACGTCAGTTTGAGCAAGATTAGAATGGCTCTCCAGCACCTTAAAAGCAGCAAGGCCCCAAGTTAGGATGGAATTACAGTGAAGCTTCTGAAAGTGGGTGGAAAACCGGTACTTGAAGCCTTCAGAAGCTCCTTAATTCCAGCCTCCACGGTAGGACTACTCCGGAGTCGTGGAGCAGAAGTGCGGTGGTCTTGTTCTTCAAGAACTACAGACCGATATCCCTTCTGGTTCGCTTCTACGTGCTGTTTTCGATAGTTTACTAATCGTCTCGCACGCAGACTCGACGACTTCCAGCCTCCCGAACAAGCTGGTTTCCAAAAAGGCTATGGTAATCTATGGTACTAAATAGATCACATACACTTCCTTCGGCAAATTGTACAGAAGATTGAAAGTACAATCTGCCACTTTGCCTAGCGTATGTAGACTATGAGAAAGCCTTTGTTTCCGTCGAAATTTGGGCGGTGCTACAGTTCCCTTAGCGGTGACAAGATTTACCTTATATAACTTAAATTCAAAATTAAAAAAAATACCCAAAACAAGAAGAGCTTATGCTGCTGTTTATGAGCTGAAATATTTCTTAAAATCTAAAGTCTAGGTGACTCATATAAAAAAAAAAAACTAAATCTAAATCGTTTCATCCGTTTGGGAGTTACAATGCCATAGACAGACACACAGATACAGACTTTAAACATATAAGACGCCTTTGTTTGCGTCGCTCGTTAAAGACAAGTGCAACAAGCGTGTAACAAGGGGGACTAACGTTTTACGTTACCTTTTCTATCAATACTTCATATGTAACCTACTACAAAAACCTAACTAGAGGGTGTTATTACTTTCTAATATGCCACTCAATATATTATGTAGACGAATCGGATAAAGGTGTCCGACGCAATTTTATGTATAATGACTTAGTAACACTACCGCCGTATGTCCTCTTTGGAGATGAATGGATGTATGGAATATAAAGAAATGCTATCTCAGGTCGTCGTCCCTTGAGAGAACGTATTGAATGCTCGTTTTTAAGTACGTAGCCGGCGAAAACATTTTTTTTTAAAAGTAAGTGTGATAAACGAGCACACAGTCCCCTTAATGACAATTAGATATTGTAGTCTAACCTACATCTATCTCTGATTGAGAATTAAAATGCATATGCGTTTTTATCCTTGAGGTTTAAGTTAGAATAGCTCGTTAGAACTCGTTATCTGCTATTTTGCGTTGTTAATCTGTAAAAACTTCGTCCTTATTAAGTTGAGTTAACCTATTCTTGCGGCACCATGATATAGCTGCAGCGTGACTTTTCCACGTACAAAATATAAATAGTATCAGTGATCAAAAACAAATTGTTGGTTTTCAGGTCTGGCTGTCTCCATGTCTCCTGCATTGCATAGCTTGCCTTCCATTTTATAGTATTGAGCATAATATGTGGAAGTGTATTTGTGGCAACCTGTAAATTTGCAGCAGGATTTATTCCGCAGTCTATAGCTGGGGACAGTTCCGATTATTGTGTTGTAGTCGAAATCTATGGAAGAAGGACACCATCATATTAAGAGAGTGTCGTAGAAACTGTGTAAAATTTTTAGGACTTTTACATGTTAAAAACAATAAAATTAAGTTATTATGATATTAAAATTTGTTTTAGGTCACTAGATGGTCTGGAAAATATGAAGTTCTTCGTTATCGCAAACAGCATCGTTTTGCTAACAACATTAATGTACCCTCATATTCAACTGATTGTGGATACCGTATATGAATATTTTTATAGCACTGATAGTGTATATTAATATAAAAAAATGATATGCATAATAAAACATTTTTTCTTAATTTTACATTAATTGATGATGAACTTATGTATCTATTTAATAAAACTATATAATTATATACACATTGCTTAATATAGATTCATAAATTGCGTCATAGAAGATATGATTTTCAAATTTGCTAACTTGGTGTGCGTGACGGAGTTTATTATTATAATTATTTTGAATTGTTATCAGGAAGATGCTGCTGTCCATCTATTGTTTCAACTTCCCACTGTCGTCTATTACGGCACCAACAACGGAAAAATATGGGGTAGTAAATATTCTCACACCAACAATTCACGGCATTAAATATTGAATTATTGGTAAAATAATATTACTAACAAATAATACTATCATCCTTAAAAATAAAATAACAATAAACGTAAATAAAATAATATCAAATCACGTATTTATAACAATCCGTAATACAGGTTCATGTAACATACTATTGTCCAATAATTTAAACTGTATTAGTTAATTACTAATTATAGAAAATCAAAATCTGATTCTCCTTCTTTAGAAAAATTTGTAACTAGCTGTGCCCGCGGCGTAGCTCGCGAATATAGGTTTTACTTAAAGAATTTGACGTTTGGGGTAAGAGAATATTAAACGATTTATATCATTACTGTATGAATAAGTGGTAACAAAATAAATCGATATGCTCAAAGTTCTAAGTCGTTTATGATAGAGCTTATGTGTAAACGACGATAGAAGTAGACTTAGCCGGGGCGTACAGAAAAAGGTTACGGGGACTACTAAAGCGGGAAAAAGCAACATAGAGTTGGCCATGTGCAAAACAATCAGTACTGAGGTCCACTCCTGCAACGCGTAAAGTTTGACCTTGCGCTTTATTTACGATCGTCGCATAACACACGCTGAGTGGGAAACACACTTAAAATAGGGATGTGAGATGATCATCGATGTTAAAAATTAAAACTTCGATGTTTTAACATCGATGTTGACATATGTCAAACATCGAAACATCGACGTCAATGAACCCATAATCATAATTGGGAACTTGCAAACAATGCGAACTCGCGAAATCAATATCAACTAAATCTTGCATTTGCTCTGAAGATTAAAAATTTTGAATCATTCAGAATTTCTAAACGCATCGTTAATCTAAAAAAAAATTCAGTACGGTGAGTCAAACTTAATTGTCAAGTGTCTCCTGTAATGTCACAATGGTCACTGCGAAGTATATGTATTTCCATGAATGTGCGTGACTACTTGACTATAGAAAATTTGTGATTGACATTGGAATTAGAGTAATAATATACATAATATGATTGTACCATAGATTACGTACTTACTCTGAGGCATTTTCATTATAAACGTTGACAAACGACCTAATATTTCCAAGCGATAATTATGTGTTTGATATTCACAGTATTAGAGTAAACAATGTATGTTTCATTTAATTTAATTTGATATACTTGTTACAAACATTACATAAAAATGTTAGCTTTCTGTTTTAACTAAGCCAAATATCACACTCCTCCGTGCGCACAATACAATTCAAAAGGGTAACAAAGATTTCCCTTCACGTATAAATATAATTTTATAATCTTATTAAACTTAGAAAATAGACAAAAATTCACTTGAATTCTGTATAAGAATGTCGCCCTAAAATTAGGTCTTTTTATAAAAAAAAACTCCGGGCGAGAGCTCTGAATGGACGGGCTGCGAATACGATTTACCAAATTACATAGAAAGTACGGGGTGCGAGCGCGGACATGTCACAGTTGGTTTGACACTCGACTTTCTCCTTTTAACGTGAAAAGTACCTAATTTATTTGTTTTGAAAAAGGTATAAGGTTGTCTATTGTGAAACTTGTTTACAAATATACCTATAATCATGTCTTTTACGTAAATATTTAATTTAAAACTTCTATACTAATATTTATATAATTATTATATAATTTTCTAAATATATAATTGTTTAAGCAATTGCAACTAACAATTTTAAAAACAGCATTTTACCTGTGCAATTATACCAAATCCATTGAGATCTCGTATCAAAAAATGATGATGACTAAATTAGGAGTAACACATAAACTATCCCTAGTTTATATACTATCATACTAAAATACATACCTGGCAAAAATTAAACCAGAGGCTGCAATTGTTCTATACACTCTGGCTTAGCACCGACCTTTGAAGCAATTCTTAGGAATAATTTTATTCATTTAAGCCCTTTAAAGTCTTACATTTTACTAAACAAAATATTCATGGTAATTACAGAATTTTATCTAAATAGTTACATTAGAATCTTCATTCCCTATTTGCATCTCAAGGGATAGAATTGTTCTTTAAATACCACCGAACCAAACTTTTTAATAATAAATTTTACCTACTAGCGATCCGACCCTGCTTCGCAGGTGATTTCTGGATATCAACATTAGCGCCGCCTACCGGATCCAAATATGAACCTAAACCATCTAGGGACCCATTCACACAGATTAAAAGTTCATTAAAATTGGTCGAGCCGTGTTTTGAGTTTTAAAAATAAAATATATGTATTGATATTTTATTTTTAAACTATTGACACTATGTTAATATATTGTGATGTATTTATTTACTTGATTGAATCAATCATCTGGTGTAAGTTGTTTTTATTTTTAATTGTTAAACTCATTCACATTAATCGATTAAAGTTATCGATTTCTTATTTCATTCGTGACATAAACTTATTTTTAAGAGTTCTCGTCTTCCAGATTGTAAATTGATCATTTTTTTATATCTTGAAATGGAAAAATATAACGCTTTTTTAAACCATATTTCAACTTATTACAATTGGGCCCAGAAATCCTCGTCTCCATTTGTCGGTTATTGCAAAATAACCCTGTATAGACATTAAAATCGATTACTAATAGGCGAATATGATATATACAAAAACATACAGTCGAATCAAGAATAAAGAATACTGAAATTCTCCTCTCGTCGGCTAGAAACTATTTACCCCGTTTGAACTTTGGAGAAAATGTTTTAAATTATATGTTGTGGTTTTGTATAAAAAAAAATTAAAGGGACACGCCGTCTTCGCCTCTTCCTTGCATAATGTAAGAAATGTGTGTCTTATTAAAATTTAAAATATTATTTTGCTATGATGCATGTCATTTCATAAAACAAAATATAATGGAATAGTTTATTACTTCCATAGATTATGAGACAATACTTATTAAAAGTTGTTTTAATTTTTGTACTGGTTCGGTATAAAATTCCCGCGGAAAGAACCAGCAAGAATAATATTCGTGTGTATTTATTATTAAAAGTATTAAAAATATAGATTTCTTAGTCCCGATGATTCATGAAAAATTGGTTCTAATTATAATCATCATCATCATCATTACAGCCCTTCACAAGTCCACTGCTGAACATAGGCCTCCCCCAAAGAATGCCACAAAGCACGGTCCTGAGCCACCTGCATCCATCGACTTCCTGCATGTCTTACCAGGTCGTCACTCCATCTCGTGGGGGGACGCCCTACACTTCGCCTACCGGTACGAGGCTGCCACTCAAGAACCTTTCTTCCCCATCGGTTGTCGGTTCTTCGAGCTATATGGCCGGCCCATTGCCACTTCAGCTTACTAATCCGTTGGGCTATGTCGGTCACTCTGGTTCTACTGCGGACATTCTCATTTCTGAGTTTATCACGCAGAGAAACTCTGAGCATAGCCCTCTCCATAACTCGCTGAGCGACCTTGAGCTTCCTCATCCGACCAGCAGTGAAGGACCACATCTCAGTTCCGTATGTCATCACTGGCAACACGCACTGGTTATACAGTCTCGTTTTCAAGTTTTGAGATATACCTGACGAGAAGATGTGCCGTAATTTCCCGAACGCTGCCCAACCGAGTTGAATCCGTCGATTGACCTCTCGATCGAAGTTGGACTTACCTAGTCGGACTATTTGTCCCAGGTAAACATACTCATCAACAACTTGGAGCTTAGTGCTCCCAACAACTACCGACATAGGTGTGACATGGACATTAAACATGATCTTTGTTTTGTCCATGTTCATCTTAAGATCTATCCGTTGGGAAGCACTATTGAGGTCATTGAGCATAGTGCTTAGGTCCTCCAGCGAGTCTGCCATAAGGAGTATATCGTCGGCAAATCGAAGGTGAGTGATGTACTCGCCATTGATGTTGATACTGTATCCTTTCCAGTCCAGAAGCTTGAAAACGTCTTCCAATACAGCGGTGAAGAGTTTCGGGGATATGACGTCACCCTGTCTTACACCTCTCTGCAATTGGATAGGTTTCGTACTCTGGTTCTGTACTCGGATAGCCATCGTAGCCCTACTGTACAAGCACTTCAACACTTCGATATACCGATAGTCAACTTGGCACCGCTGAAGGGACTGCAGCACCGCCCAAATTTCGACGGAATCAAAGGCTTTCTCATAGTCCACATACGCCAGACATAGTGGCAAATTGTACTCTTCGGACTTCTGTACAATTTGCCGAAGGGTATGTATGTGGTCTATGGTGCTAAAGCCCTTTCGGAAACCGGCTTGTTCGGGAGGCTGGAAGTCGTCAAGTCTGCGCGCGAGACGATTCGTAATGACTCTCGAAAACAGCACGTAGACGCGGCTCAGAAGGGAAATCGGTCTGTAGTTCTTCAAGAGAGCGTTGTCACCTTTCTTGAAGAACAAGACCACCGCACTTCTGCTCCACGCCTCCGGTGTAATGCCACCATGGAGGACGGAATTAAAGAGCTTCTGAAGGACTTCAAGTACCGGTCTTCCACCCGCTTTCAGAAGCTCCGCTGTAATTCCATCCTCGCCTGGGGCCTTACCGTTTTTAAGGTGCTGGAGAGCCATTCTAATCTCGCTCAGACTGACGTCCGGGATATCTTCGGAATAGTGTCGGATGAGACTCGCTCTTGGATCGTTACTCACACTTGCGTGTGGCTCCAACGATGACGTGTACAGCTGCCCATAGAATCTCTCAATCTCACTCAAAATCTCAGGTGTC